GTGCCAGAGTTCTCCGGAGAAGTAAGGGACCTCTTTAGATGGAGACCAACAGGTAGCAGTTGAGATAACTGAGTACTGATGGGTGGACTGGATGCTTTAGTGATTGTGTGATGTTTAGATTTCTCCATCTTTAACACTTAGGTCATATCTGATTTTAGTAAATAGCAAATATAAATACATGCAGATTAATTTCATGCTTATTTTGAGAGATCTGTTCAAAACATGCAATAATAATAAATGTAGGAGTTTCATTTCCTCCTTTTTCTTCCTCTCTCCCTCCAAACTTTTAATATTATTTTTTAAACATATAGAAAGTTTCAAGTAATATAATAGTATACTAAACGCTTACATACTCACCATCTTAAACATTTGCTAACAGTTTTTAATTTTTGCTTTTATGATATTTCACATCTAAACATTTCAGGATGATCTCTTAAGAAAAATAAGATTTATTTTTCTTAAAAGGCAAAACAAAAAAAAAGTCTCTAATTTCATTTAACATCCAGGACATTGGCCTTTGGCATTATATTGTATCAAAATTAGACAGTTGTGATGATTTGATTCTCTGGATAGTGATTACATAAAATTAAAATGAAGAGGACACTGTTTGCATTTGTGTAGGTAGAAAATAAGGTCAGCATAACATTTGAGAAAAGCAGCATATCTCCTTAGAGAATAACAGGTGATATGTCACTCAGAACATCAATTTCTTTATTAAATTAAAAGTCTATAAAACACTGATTGTACCTACTTTAAGACCTATTTGAAAAGTCCCAGAGGTTAGCTGTGATGTTGCTGGGCACATCCATCATAGGTTTATGAGTCATACAATCCTTTGTAGTAGTTAAAATTGATCTGAAAGAGAAAGGCATTGGCTAGGCTTCAGCAGTTGCCTAATAAATCTTTTATTTTAAGTCTTGAGTAATGATGTTCTTTTGTGAGTCGGGCACTGTGATGGGAAATGTTTCAGCACTGGGTGTCCTGAGTAAACGAGGGATCTCTTTTCATTTGGTGTTCTATATCTACAAACAAAGTGGGACAACTCTGTGCATGTAAAGTAAGTACTCTCCTCTGCTTCTCTCCTATTTACCTTAAGAAACCTATCATAGCATGACAAGAACTGTTAACTTTTAATTTAGGCTTGGAAAAATAATCTCAGGCATTTTATTGTTTGATATAGAGGTTATATAAGATGTGACGGCTCTTCTTGAATTAAACAAAACAACAAAAACAAGTGTTGGGCTGTAAGAATGATTATCTTAGATGATTTTCTGAATTTGAAAATGCTAACGGTACGTGTGCGAAAGCAATATATTTTACTTGGGTCACCCAGAGAATAAGGAATTGGATGATAACTACAATGTAGTCTCTAGATTCTTGAACATATGTGCAAGTCTAGGGAAAGCATGATGCTATAGATTATTAAGGATCCTACAGTTATTCTATGTTTTTTACTATTCTGGGATGTATTTTTATCCACTAAAAATGATTTGTAAACTCTATGCTATACCTATTCTCTTTTCTCAGACCACATGCTTATGAAATGCTACACACAATTCTGACACTTCATAATAAAAAGAATAAGGCTAGAAGCAAACAGATTTTATAGGAGTTACACAGGACAAAGTAAATATTATTGTTCAAGCCATAGAAAGAAAAAAATCCTGCTTAAAATCATGTAAACAACAATTATTCCACAAGTTCAAGAACAGTCGCAAAAAATGCATTTCCATGTAATTATTAATAGTAATTTTAAACTCAAAAGGTGTATTTTAAGAATAAAAACAGCTGTTTTTTTTTTTTTCCCTCAGAGAATCCAGTTTATGGACCTTATTTTCTACTTCACAAAGAAAATACATAAAATATGTATCCATTTATGTTTTCTGCCTATCTCAGACTACAGATAACTGGGAGGAAGGTGCCTCCACCAAGGCTTAGCCTACTTTCCAAGCTTTGGATTTGATCATCTCTCGCTCCTAAGACACCTGGCTCCAACACTTACCAAGGGTCCTCAAACTTTTTAAACTGGGGGCCAGTTCACTGTCCCTCAGATCCTTGGAGGGCCGGACTGTGGGCCCTGGGATGAGTCGGCTGCTAAGCAGGACAGGTAGTGGCAGCAAAAACACCCGGTGGGCCGGATAAATGTCCTAGGTGGGCCGCACGTGGCCCGTGGGCTGTAGTTTGAGGCCGCCTGACTTACACTCTCCCTTTTCTACCTTTCACTGTTTCCTTCCTATTGGTTCTTTCCCTTTGGATATAACCAGGTTAAGGATGTTTGTGCATTTGCTTCACTCATAATGAAAAAGATTTAATATGTTTATATACAGTTTGTTAATCTATTCCTGGATTGATGAACATTTAGTTTGTTTCCATGTTTTGGTGGTTATAAATTGAGATATGACAAACAATCTAGTGCAAATGTCTTTATGATGAAATGATGTTTTTTTTCTTCTGGGTAGATGCGTAGCAGTGGGATTACTGGGTCAAATGGGAGGTCTAATTTGAGTTCTTTCCAAAGAGGCTGTAATAGTTTGCAGTCTCACCAACAGAATAAAAGTGTTCTGCTCTCTCCACATCCATGCTACCAACTTGGGGACTTTGTGATGTGGCTCTTCTCATTGGGGTTAGGCCATATCTCAGGCTGCTTTGATTGCATTTGTCTGATGATTAAGGGAAATGAACATTTTTTCATGTTTGTTAGCCATTCATCTCTTTTCTTCAGAGAGTGTTCTGTTCATGTCTCTTGCCCAGTGATAGATGGGATTGTTTGCTCTTTTTTTGTTGATTAATTTGAACTCTCTCTAGATCCTAGTTATTAAGCCTTTGTCCAATTTATAACATGCAAATATATTTTCCCATTCTAAAAGTTGTCTATTTGTTTTAATTGTTGTATCCTTATTTACGTTGTTTATTTACATGTTTATTTACATTGTTTTTTTATGTTGCTGTTGCCATTGCCCGTGAAGCCTTCATTATAAAATCCTTCCCCAGTTTGACATCCTCAAAAGTGTTCCTACACTTTCTTCTAGGATTTTTATCATTTCATGTCTTAGATTTAAATCTTTTGTCCATTTTGAGTCAATTTTTGTAAGTGGTGAAACTTACATTTCTAATCATATAGAAGTTATTATATCTCACATTTTAGGATGTTTTGTGTATGTTTCCAGGAGAATTTTGAAAAAAACTACCAGTTTGTAGTAGAACAGGCTTTGAGGTCAGGCACAAGTGGATTCTACTAATAGCTGTATCAGTTGATAGCTGTATGATTTTTGGCCAAAAGGGTCTTTCCTGCAAAATACTACTGGGATTTCTGCAAAATAATAATGCTACTGGTATTTCTTTGGTTCAGTGTAAACTTAGACACTTATTGGGTGCTCACTCCATGGCAGCTACTCTTTTGAGTGTTTTGCACAACCTGATATATAATCTTTAGTACAACTCTCTACAGTAGCCTCCCTGGTCATCTTTATTTCTAGAGATGAGATAACTCAGGCTGAGATTTTAAGCAACTGCCCAACTTTACACAGATGGCAAGTGACAGGGCAAGATGTAAGCCCAGTCTGGCTTCAGAGCCCATACTCACACCACTATGGTCCTCCACACATGTAAAACATCTAGTTTGATGCTTAACACTCATGAGGCACATACATATCCTTCTGGTTCCCAAAAGTCACCAAAGATTTTCAATATATTCAGGATACTATTTCACAATAAGTTGATTGCTCCAGTAACTACATCATCAAATGGATTAAAATTCAGAATAAGAGAAATATTACAAACGAATGTGGTATCAAATAACACATTTTCCTTTTTTTCCCTAAATATAAATTTGCCTTATCCCCATAGTATTTTCTGAGTCCTAATTCCTAATAGTTAAAGGAATTATTAGCGTACTATGACTTCTTACTAGTTTATAACAGGTAATTTGTTACTCATATAGTCACCTGACATACATATGTCAAAATACCTTTGATGAAGTATGAATTACTAGCTGGAGAGCTGGCTTATTCAAGTGAGTTTAATTCATAATACTTGTGCTGCGGGTACATGGTGTGAAATTTGAAAAGAAAGATAAATGTTCTTCATTTTAAAGTACTAGTTTCCTAAGGACAGAGGTTGGGGGGGGGGGTTAGGTGCCAGGTGCTCCCTCTTTTTGTTTAATTCACCAAACAGCAATAAAAAAGAAATTCTTTTGGAAGCCAAGGTCACAGGTCACTCTCAGCTGATGAGAGAGTAATGGTATCAGAGAGAAGGAAAGCTAGGACAGGAGTGAGGGAACTAGCTGGTGGAAGATGAAATAGAAGGGATGTATTTTTAAATTATATTTTATATTTTATGGCCAAAATTATATGTTATAGTGCTATTCGTTGATTAAGGGATTTCCATTGTTTTTGAAAGGTATCATTCATAAATATCAAGTATCTTCTAAAATACTGCAATATACTCTCTTCTCACAAGATGCAGGAATTTGCAAATGTTTGGGGCTATTAACATAATAAGTAACAGATTAAAATTGTACTAAGTAATCCTGATGAATGAATGGAGACAAATTTAATATAATTTTCCCAATGCCTAACTGTATAGTGTAAGTCAATATAAAGGATTAATTACTTTGGAACCACGTGCAAAATTTTGGGGGGTGATTTTCAGTACTTAAGGCATACTTGCAGTACTTAATTTTTAGTACTTAAGGGCTATACATACTTAGCTCTTAAAATAATTAACACGTGAAGAAAAAAGGCAAAATCTTAGTTACATCATGTTAAATTCTGGCAGCAATATTAAGGCAGTTTTGCTTGTATAGATTTATCTAAAAGGGAATATGGCAAATTTCATAGAAAAAGTAAGCATAAATGCCATGGACTTAAGCCTCTCTCTCTCTCTGCCTCTCTCTCACACACATGCACACTCATCCATACACACAGTTAAAAGCACAGAAAACTTCTGAAATTTTCTCTATCTTATAAGAACCGTGTGATTATTCTCTTTCTTTTTGTTAGGCGGTATTTTTGAATATGTGGAATCTGGCCCAATGGGAGCTGAGGAACTTGCATTCAGATTTGCTGTGAACACAATCAACAGAAACAGAACCCTGTTGCCCAATACCACCCTCACCTATGACACTCAGAAGATAAACCTCTATGACAGTTTTGAAGCATCCAAGAAAGGTAATTGGTCAATAGTTAACATTATGTTTTCTGGAATTCACATTTTTAGGTATTCTTTAAAGATGTATTACTTCCATTATATAGTTAATAAGTTGTTGGGGAAAATTGCATGCAAAGATTTATTTTCAAAATGCACATAAATTTTATCCAAGAAGGTAAAGTTATATAATTTCCTACTGCAAAAAGTCGGTTTATGACATAAAATATGATTATATCTGTGATAGTTTTTTTGCCATTAATTCTTTGGTCTTATTATTAACTTTTCCTAATTTCAAAAACTCAGTAAAAGAAATATTATGTATCAGTGGATTTTACCAAATTTTACAATTAATAGTTACATTTTCATAAGCATCATCTGTTAATCCCACTATAGTATTACTCATCTCAATTTATTGCCTACCTTGAAATCTATATTGTTCTTTGTGATTTTATAAAGTCAGTCCAATTTTAAAATTTCACTGGAAAATTTTGAACAACTATCACCTTGTGTATACTACATGCTTATTTTTTTAACCACTTGATATTTCTTCTTGTGACTTAAAATAAATGGTTAATGATATAAAAACAATTATATATAAAGAAATAATTGTAACACTTATAAATTTTATTTATTTTATTATGTTGTGACTATTTTCAATGTAAAGAATAAGAAAATAATTTTTTTTGGAATATGAATTTAATATTTATATATGAAAGAAAGGATTAGAAGTAAACTATGATCAAAGCCTTTATTTTAACCAAACAGCAGTCTGAATAGTGAATGTGTTTGATAGGTGTTTGCAGTCTTCTGTGGGTGATCTTATAGTAGGTGATCTCTCCTTTTGCATAGTTAGTATTGAGTAACAGAAATTAAATTTTAAATTTTTTAATGTAGATATTCTTTAAAGAGGGATATTACAAAACATTTGTTATTTATAACTTCATATTTTTGAATAATGCTTGCTTTTGTGTAATGCTAATACAGTTTTACTAGCTACCTTACAGTAATGGAAATGTACATAATTACTTATAATTCTAGGTTGGTGCAATTTTTCCGTAAGCTCATTAATATTAATGGCAGCTGACAAGGTACAATATTTCCTGAGATGAAAGGATCTTTCTTTTCCCCCAGCAGCTAACTAGTGTTTATCAAAGCCATATTCGGCATGCCCTTTGAGTTTGTATCTTTATGAATACCAATAAGTTTCCATATTTCAGAACCATGTCTGGGTGATGAAAGGTTTTGAAGGCTGAAGAAAAGGTTAAAGGTTACTGTGAAATACTACATTTGTCATCATAATTGCAAAATTAGTCATTAACTGCGAGACAAGTGCGTTTCATTAGTGGCATAGTTCGTGATTATTTCTATTAGGGAGAAGAAGCTCTGCCTCTAATGAAAACATTTTGACCAAAGAGTATGGAATATGAGTGCAGTATGGGTAAAATAGTAAGACATTTCTTAATGGTGATTTCAAAGAAACGATGTTTTTAAAAACCCAAAAAGAATGTTCTGACAACAAATGGAGTATTCTGCTAGTAATGCCCAAGCCAAATTTTGAGGTGATATAAAGTCCTCTGGTAGCTAAAATATCATAAGAAATTTATGAACTTTATTACTCATTAAAAACTTTTAGGATTCAGAACTATACAGTTGACTTTGCCCTACCGCTGGAAAAGCTCAAATATGTGTTTAAGTAACTTTCTTCATGAATGTCCTGGTTTGAACCTGATTTTGTGAAGTTCTTTCTTGTTGTGCAATTATTGTTTAGAGGTCCCAATAATATGGAAAAAGAAAATATAAGGGAGAGAACAAAAATGATTTTTGAAACTCATCAGAGTGTATTATACATATACAAATAATGTTGTTAATGATTATGAAATAAACTTAATTTGTACATTTTTAAAATTTTAAAAACTATTTTTCAACATAAGAAAATAATACATTAGATGTAAGATTTTGACATTTTCTCTAATTTGTTCTCTTATACTTTTAAGGTAATACTGTTTACTTAATTAATGAATTCTTTGCTATATTGAATATTGAATTATTGAGTCATACAACATTTTGAAATGACTCCTCTGATAACTGAGAACTTTAATTCTTATTTGAAACACATCTAGGAACATTCTAAATAACCTAAATGATGTTTTACACTATCTTGTTATATTATTTGTCAAAAACCTGGTGAAGAAAGTTCTTCTATCCTTGATGTATAGGAATTAAAAAAAAAATCCTATGTTGTATGAAAAATTCTAGGGGTCAGACAACCTTTCTATTGATTTAAAACTCAAATCATCATTTAAAATTTAAGAGGGTGGCACTTGTGGCTCAAAAGGGTAGGGCGCTGGCCCCATATGCTGGAGGTAGCAGATTCAAATCCAGCCCCGGCCAAAAAAAAATAAAATTTAAGAATCTATATATTACAAAACAATTTATTAGATCATACTGAATTTTTAAGGAATGTTTAAAAAGTGTTTTTTAAACAACTAACATTTATTTAATTATTAAATATTTCTATGCTAAAGAATTCATTTTCACATTGTATTTGATGCAAAAGAAACAAAACGCAGAGAAAACAGCAGAAGGTCTCACACACTAGAATTATAAACTGTGTATTTTTGAGGCATTGAACATGAGCACCCAATTTATGCCTATCTATCTACCAACGATAGTGTTTCTCTGTCCTATTTGTAGCATTGGATAAACCAAGGCATCCTCAAACTACGGCCCGCGGGCCACATGCAGCCGCCTAGGACATTTATCCAGCCCACTGGGTGTTTTGGCTGCTGCTGCCTGTCCTGCTTAGCAGCCGACTCATCCCGGGTCCGCAGTCCAGCCCTCCAACGGTCTGAGGGACAGTAAACTGGCCCCCTGTTTAAAAAGTTTGAGGACCCCTGGGATAAACCATTGCCTCTCAGAGAAGGCTATTCTATTTTTGAAAATTTCTTATTTAACTTTAGAATTTTTTTAACTTTAAACTGGATCAAAATTCATGAGAAGCTTCCAATTATTTGTCCTCAATCTTCCTTTGTCAGCCAAATTAAACAAATGTAATCTTTCTTTCACAAAGCTATTTTCTTCAAATATTTAAAGACAATTTTCATGTTTCTAACAATTATTCACTTTCTGGGTTTTAAATACCATTTGCTTCAGTTTCCATTATAGAATTTCAAGTCTTGAAACAATCTGTTTTAATCTGAGTAGCCTCTAGTTTGTTTATGCCTTTCTTAATTACAGTAGTTATTATGGACATGCATAAAATTTTCTAGGAGTAACTACAAACTTAAAAAAAAAGACTTATAGCATCTAAAAACCAAATTATAAAGATGATTGAATATTTACCTAATGATTTTGGTGTTTTTCCTTCTCAATGAAATTAATCCAAATGAAATCTCCCCTCCCCCAACCATATAAGATTCTGTATGGTAGGTTGTATGCATAACTTGACCTGTATCGTCAGATATGTGGAAATATTTAGTGGTGTGTGGTCATAACTGAGTGGGGAGGGGGAGGGGGAGGACAAAATGGCTTCTTACTAAGAATTTGAAAAATGTGAAGAATGGTCAGTGAATTTGAGAAGCAACACTATTCTCTCATCCCCTTCAAATAAACTATTCTTCAAAATGAGTACTCTTTCACCCCCTTAAATTAAAACTTCTCTCCCTTCTTTCCTCTCTCCCTCCCATGATATTATTTATAGAATTATTTGAACTTTGAGTTACAGGCATGTGGGTGAACTAGTTCCCTTGTAACAAACTAAATGTTCAGAGTCAGACAAAATGTGAAGTTAGTGAAACAGACGTTATGTTAAAGAAAAGCAAATCTTTCTTCAAGTTGATCCCTTTGCGTTTCCAATCGCAGTGTGGTCTCTGTTGGCCCTGGCATCTCTCCCTCCTTATTGACGGATTCTGTCTCCTCTACAGCCTGTGACCAGCTGTCCCTTGGCGTGGCTGCCATCTTCGGGCCTTCGCACAGCTCCTCGGCAAACGCGGTGCAATCCATCTGCAATGCTTTGGGGGTTCCCCACATTCAGACCCGCTGGAAGCACCAGGTGTCAGACAACAAAGATTCTTTCTACGTCAGCCTCTACCCAGACTTCTCTTCACTCAGCCGTGCCATTCTAGACCTGGTGCAGTTTTTCAAGTGGAAAACCGTCACAGTGGTGTATGATGACAGCACGGGTAAGAAACTTTGGGAGCCTTTGGGGCTCTGTGGTAAATATACATAAAGTGCTGGTGGCCACTCTGGATTCTTACTGCATTCTTGTTTGTTTTGTTTTGTTTTTGAATTAAACCCTAGAAAGACATTTGGAATCAAACACTAATTTCACACATCTAAACAAAACACACCTAAGTCACATACCTTTTATCTGTATTCAAAAACAAGCACTTCTTTTCTATGAAGGATCGAGTAGTTTGAACTCTAAATTAGACAAACAATAGGGATAATATGACATATGGTGTTGGAATTTATTCAAAGAATTTTTCTCCCAAGGCTGGTGGGTCAATGAAACTTGGCAAGAAGTTCAGAATTTTGCCTTAACATTTGCTTAGCTGTTCATGTGCAAGGAATCTGTCTGAAAAGTAATAAACTCCGTATCTATTAGGCGTGTTAAAATTTCAAGAGGTTTTTTTTCCTCAAATGTGGAACAATATAATATCTATTGAAATGCTTTAAATTTTTTATAACAACTTTTGTTTGTAGACATCAGTTAGGGACTTAGAAAATAGATTTTACTAAATGCTATTTATTTCTGTGTTTTAAAGGGATACTTTAGTGAATATTTGCTGTCTAGAATATTTGCTATCTGTGCTATCTTGTTCTAGGTGGCTATTTTTGTATATGAATGGTTATCCTGAGTTATTAGTTGAAGACAATTCTCAGAGAAATACAAGAAAGTAAATAGCAAAACTGAAGTTTTAATTTCATTGGCAGGTTTATTGATGAAGCAACTGTATACTATTTTGCTTACTATACAGTGACAATTGATTTTACTTCAAGGTTGTTTATCAATAATATAGGTAGTGCTATTTAAGTTAGAACATAAAAACATTTTATTTCAGGACATTTTACGGTACCTTCGTAGCTGCATCAAAGTTGCAATTCATTTGAATTTAAATTCTTTCAAAGTTATGTCCAGAACGTAGTTCGTTCATGCATGCAGAATTTTGTCTACCTGCTAATAAAATTGATTATCTGCAAATTGACAGATAGTCATTCTTCCAAGAGAATAGGATGCTGGGAGTTAGAGGATTGGAAAAACAATGAGAGTAACATCAAAAACAAATTCACTGCAGTGAGTCTAAATATAAAATAAGAATGATTTTGTTTTTCTTATTAAAAATGTGGAACATTTATAAGTAATTTTAATTTAGAAATGTAGTGTATCAATAAAAATCCTTAAAATAACCTAATCATCTTTTCCATACATATATATGCATATATATATGTTTATATATTCTTTAGAAATATATAAGCATGAATACACATTCATTGTGAATCCCTGGGTATTCATTTCCCCATTCCTTCCTGATTTGTTTTAGGCCAGACAACATACATCTTCACATGTGCATACACACACATGTATCTAATTGTTGTACATGTGATACTATATTTTTATTACTACATGTATATTAAAATTCCTCGTGAGAAAAATGGCCAATGTTCAAAATGTTGGTGAACACAGTCAGCACCTTCCTTCACTATTCACTACTTCACACATATGGTTCTTGAGTACTTGAATAAGGATATAATAGGGTTTGCGATCATATCGTACAGTAATTTAGTAAAGTAAAGCTTCACATATAATTGATCTATCCCTGCTTTAAATTATATTCTAAATCATATCACTGAAGCAAATTCAAATAGGGAAATACATGGTTAATTACATTTACATATTTTTAATAGAGTTCTGACCTCAAATTAAATTTGTTAAAAACATTAAATTACGATTCAAAGGAAACTTTGCCATTCTCATTGCTTTGGAGGTAACATAGATACTAGGAAATTTCAAAGGTTTTTGATTACTTAAATAGTAATGTTAACTTAGAAGAGGTAAGGAATTATTCATAAGATTTGTGTATCTTAAAATCCTCCGAGGAAAAATACTTATTAATGTTCTATTTTATGCAACATTTAATTCAGTGAACATTGATTGATAACCTGCTACATGGTAGGGACAGTTATACGTGTGATTTTATACAGTAAAGGAAACAAAGTCTTAGCCTTTGTTGAGTTTCTATTCCCTTTGGACATGTGATTACTCATGTTTTTAATATTACTAGTAATGAGCTAATTGCAGGTGTTACAAGTCATTTGTTTTCTCTTTTAATTATAAATACTTTTTGAGAACTTGAGTTGTCTCCAGGCAGAAGAAGAGTCCCTTTGAAATGTATTCAGAAACATATAAAAGTGAACTTTTTGTCTTTTTGTTAAGGTTTAAAAGTCTCAGGGTGGAATTTTAATGATAAAATTCAACAAAGACAATTTTTAAACTTGTGAAACAAGCAAGATGTGAGAGGAAATGTGATAATAGCTGGGACTAAAAACTAGAGGGGAGAACCCTACCTCATACCCGACAAGATAAACATTAGTGAGTCTATTGGGGACTTCACTTATCTGCTGCTTCCTGTGGGACACATGAGCCATTTTATTTACATTTCCTTTTTTCCTTTCCAAATTTACTTCTTATGTATGTTATTCCTCCCATTTACGTTCCTTTTTATTTTGTTATGTTGTCCAGTTTGATATATGATAATTATACTTTCATGAAGTCTTTGTTCCCACCCCCTAAAACAGATGGGATGATAGATGAAATAGTGCTGGAGTAGGAGAAATTCTTAAAATGCTGTTAACAGGAGCTATTTATTTTTTATGATAATTAGCATTTGTTGTTGTCATGGATAAATGCTTTAAAACCCTCTGAAAGTCTGTTATAGCTCTGAATGACGTCCAAAAATAATGGAAAGGAATTGGCTTCAGAAACAAAGCTGTGTTTCTGTCATTCATTTTGGAACATATGATTCATTTTAAATATATACTAAAAATAAGTCAGATAGCTGTCAGCTTGTAAGCAATTCCAGGATAAGTTGTGAATATTTGCTTTAAAATCCTTGTGTTTCATCTTTGTTTATAGATCAGCAGTCCATTGACAAAAAAACTCTGGACTGGTAAACAGAAGCTTAGGATTCTAGTCCCATTTTTGATACTAAAATTACTAGTACAACTTCAGAGCAGACAAGGAGGGGATGGAACTGACTGGAGAGATGAGCTATAATGTGCTATGCATTGTGGTAGCTGCTATCATAGAAACGATTTCATTTAATATGCAAAAGAATTCCATGAGTCACAAGGGAAACAAGTTATCACCCCATCACTTCTGTTTCCTCCAGTGACTGGCCCTCCTGGCTCCAGCAGCCTGAGACAGAAATATGAAAGGACGTTTTCCTTCATTGCTTTCTTCCCTCAGCTCCACAGGCAGGCTCTAATGGTTGTCAATCTACGTCCTTAAGATCTTTCCAGTCTGTTTATTTTTTTCCATCCTCAACCACTTCTTAAGTCAGAATCATCATGTCTGTCACCTGGATTGTTAGTTATAGCCTCCCAACTGGTCTCCCTATTGCAATTTTGCATCCTACTACTCCAGCCTGCAATTCTGATCCATTCCCCTCTGAGCCTCTGACTAGTTTCTCATAGCTCTAAGGTGAGACTCAAAACTTCTAGGAAGCCTTATAAGATCTGATATGATCTAGTCCTTATGATACTGGATTTTTGACTTTGGATTTCCAGGCTCTTGGTCTCAACGATTTGATGAATGAATCGATGGACCATAGGACAGACAGTAAGTTAGGTTTTATTTACAGAGGTATTATTACAGCTCTTACAAACAG